TGTTTATCCTCTGATACATTTATCTGCAGTGGTCACCTTGTGTAAGAGCCAGGAAAACCTGGAGGCACTCGCAGATGGAGACGAGGAAGAAAAGTTGAAGCTGTATGAGAAAATGGGAGATGCGGCAGCCAATATAGAAAACTATAAGCTTGCTCTCAAGTTTTATCAAAAGATGGTACGAGATGAGAGCCTGTATTAAAAAACGAATTAGGTGTTTGAATGAATATTTATCCATATTGATAATCTTGGGATGTTGAAATATGGTCATCAGGTGATTTGTTGTAGGTAAAAATCCTTTAAAGTCATTATTTTGCTCATTTTTTATGTAAAGAATTAATGTGAGCTGTTAATAGTTCAGTCAAGGCCCTCTTTTTGTTTTGTCTGTGAGTTTTACCTAATAAACATGTACAAGGCTAACTGCTTTTGGTTTTCTAATGAAGAAATTAACATGGTGTATCACCCTTTCACTCCATCCAGCTTCAGACCTCAGAGGCCCTAGGGAAGCCTGCCAAGGATATGATTCCTATTTACATCTCCATGGCACAGACATATGCTGATGACAAACAGCACAAGAATGCCATAGCTTTTTACTTCAAGGAGTTGGAGTGTAGGAAGGGGGAACATGAGCAGGTAGGTAGATGACTTTTCAATGAGGAAAAACTAACAATTTTCAGATACATAATTTTAAAACCATCTGGTGCTTTTTCTGTATACAATAGAATTATAATGTAGCCTGTTTATCAGTTTTGTTGCAATTACTCAAAAAGAATATTCTAACTTTAAGAATTTATGACTTGAAAAAATACAATATCTGTAAAATTCATTACCATATATGGATGGAGTAGAAGAACTCGGTGTGCCGTTAAGTTAGTCTGGGAGGTTCCCATTGGTCCTATGCTAAATGCCAGTAAAATTTTGTAAATATGGGTTCATTCCCAATGCAACTATCGGTCTGTGTAGATTGATCCAGTTGTGCATTGACTCTCCCTGAATACAATCAGATTAGCATGGCTTTAAGTAGTATACAGATAAATATGGGAATGTTGGCAGGGAGGAGGCATGTTAAACTGTTAAATTTACTGCATTCAACATTGTCAGGCTGAATGGCTGGTTGTAGGGTGTTGGTAGATCTGTTAACTGTGAATGATTCTCACTCAGGGTAGAAACTGGTCTCTTGGAATTAGAATAAAAATTGGAGCAAAATGAAGCTGTTTCATGTCACTTTTTTTGTTTCAAAGTAAGTGATTACTGTCACTAAAATCATTTATTAATACAATTCCTTGGAACCATGAACAATGTTATTGATAAATTCTAGGAATGTCGCACTTGGTTGAACATAGCTGAAGCACAAGAACTTTTGAACGAGGACTATGACATCATCAGCCAATCCTACCTGGCAGCTTTCAACTCGGCCAAGAAGGCAAAACACAAGAAGTTACAGGTAAGAGGAAGTTACCTGTTCTGCATAGTAGCTGTGAACTGTGACCAGAAAAGTAACATTGCTTATTTTGTTGAATATAATCTTAGAATGGTATTATACAAGGTACATTCTTTAATGAGGTGAAATAAATATTATAGTAAACTGAAAGCAGTCAAAGTCAGAAAAAGAACACCCGCGCCCCCCCCCCCCCGCCCCC